TATCGCCGACTGCAATATACATGTTATTGTTGAATTATTTAATATCATATATAGAACAGGTATATTACCTAAAGAATGGCTTCTATCAACATTCGTGACTATACCGAAAAAGAAAAACGCCAGGCAATGTTGTGATCACCGTACCATTAGACTAATGTATCACATACTAAAAGTTAAATATTATTCATCGTAGAATACATAAAAAGTTAGAACAAGACATTGGACAAACTCAGTTCGGATTTTGGATTTAGAAATGCTCAAGGAACCAGAGAAGCATTATATGCAGTAAATGTGCTAATACAAAGATGTTTAGATGTAAATCAGGACATCTATGTTTGCTTCCTAGATTATAAGAACGCATTCGATACAGTGAAACATAATCTGTTAATAAAACTACTGAGAACAAAGAACATTGACACACAGGATATAAAAATAATAAATAATCTGTATTATGAACAAAAAACTGTCATAAGATTAAATAATTTAAAAACTAATAAAATAAAAATCAAAAGAGGTGTTAGACAGGGCTGTGTCTTGTCGCCATCACTGTTTAATGCACACTCAGAGGAAATATTCAAAAAAAGCGTTAAAAGATGAAGTAGCAGGCATAGAAATAAATGGCCTACCCATACGTTAAATTAGATATACTGATAATACAATACTAATAGATGAAAATATTACAGATCTACAATGAATTTTAGATAAGGTTGTTACACCGAGTGAAGAATTTGGTCTGTCACTGAACATAAAGAAAACAAAATTCATGGTTATATCAGAGAAAAATATTAGATACATCAATCTACACGTAAGTAAATAATAAGACGATAGAACAAGTTCAGAATTATAACTATTAAGGGGCAAACGTTAATGAAACAAACGATTATACCAAAGAAATTAGAGTAAGAATAGAAAAGGCTAGAAGTGCATTCAATAATATGAAACTATGTTGTGGATACCTCCTAAATCTTAGAAATCTTTTGTTCTTTTGTATGGTGTAAAGACATGGACTTTTAATAAATAATGGCTTAATAAATTGGAAGCATTTGAAATGTGGACGTATCGAAGAATGCTGAGAGAGAGAATAACCAATAAAGAAGTATTAAGAAGAATAAAGAACAGCATTGAGATACTACATGCCATCAAAATAAGAAAACTACAATATATGGGTCATACAACACATGGTGACAGATATAAATTCCTAAAACTAATAAGGCAGATGTCGAAGTATTAAATCGAATGGACAGAGAACGAGAATTGCTGCCAATAATAAAAAGAAGAAAAACTGCTTATCTGGGTCATATATTTCGAAATTCCCAGTACTAGTTCTTAAAGCGTATTATGGAAGGGAAGATAGAAGGAAAACGAGGCATCGGAAGAAAGAAATACTCATGGCTTAAAAACATAAGGGATTGGACAAATCTCGATGCCCATGCACTTTTTAGAGCCACACAAGATCGAGAGGAGTATTCCAGAATTGTCGTCAACATAATTGGATAGGACACCATAAGAAGAAGAATAAGGTAGAGAATGATTAAAGGAAAGCGCAGCATAGGTACAAGAAGAATGTCCTGGCTGAGAAACCTCAGAGAATAGTTTGGATGAAGCTTAACTGAACTCTTTGAGGCTGTAGTGTCAAAAGTAAGAATAGCGGTGATGATTCCCAAACTTCGTCGCGGAGATTGCACGTAAAAAAAAGTAGTGAAAATTATTCGTTTAGAACCCTCTATAATATTGCTCTGATGTCTTTTTATTGTAAAATGACCAGCAAAAGAATTATAAGAACCAAAAGACAATTTGTTCAAAAATTTTTAGTTATTTTTGTTAATAACTTTTTTATCTTGTTTTCCCCTTTTTCCAAAATGGCGGCCGGGGACAAGGGTGGCGTTCCCCACAAACTTAAACTTTAGCTTATACTAACCATCACACGTCAAAAAAAAAATAAAATTGCGTTTCCTTAAAAATGTAATATCAATGGAACTTTTCAATGGACTACTGGAGTGGAAAAACATCGTCTCAGGCTCAACAACCCCATTGGTAGTTTAACGTTGCCATTAAGGGTATTGAATAATAACTTTAACACCACACCAACTTGTTAATAAATATCTCACAAATAGAAAGATTTGTACCATTTTAAGATTATTACCCACTATGTAATAGCTTGTCTCGTGTACACCTGGTAAATACACTGATGATTGACTTGTTAGTCCGAAAACGTTTTTTGTGATGTAGCCCAAAAGGGTTTTAATTACCTATGTAACTTTAATAGAAGATTTTTAAACAAAACTTTTACAACTTATGACCTACAGCAAGTTACAGCAATTTTATGACATAAGTTCCTAACGCTTCAGTTAAATAAAGAAAAATACGATAGATACGATAAAAGAAAATACGATAGAATGCAATAAGCCAGCAAATGTGTGTCAAATAGAGTCAAACTTAACGATATAAGCATTACAAAAATGGGGGGAAACGAATTTCCGCAAAAATCTTGAACAAAACAAATGAACGACATTAAACCAAATCAAATCAATTGATATGTTACTGATTATACCCAAAATCTTCGAAAAACTAAATATTAACAGTCTAAAAGAAGTAATAGAAGCTAAACATCTAATTCCGGACCATTAATTTGGGTTTCGCAATAATAACGTCACTATAGAACAAGCCCAGAGAACAGTTAATAAAGTTCCACGATTTTTTAAATGAAAAATGCTACTGCTCTGCAGCTTCTATCGATATGATACAAGCATCGGCAGAAATATTGGACGACCGCTTAAACGATGGATGGAAACCTTCCATAGAGGTATTATTTCGCCAATAAACAAGCAGAATTGCTTATTAAGGGGAAGAAGAAGAAGAAGATCTTAAATTATAGGCAGAAACTCAAAGATATCTGTAGAAAACAAACTACTAATCTACAAAGCCATTTTAAAACCAATCTGAACCTACGGAATCCAGCTGTGGAAGAAGATTCAAAAACAAGACACTCAGCATGATACTGGATGCCCCTACTATGTCATCATCATCACGTAGCGCTACAACCCTATGTGGATCTTAGCTGACTGTACAACTTTTTTCCAATTTTTTCGGTTTTACATCAAGAATTTTACACAGAACTTTACAGAACACATCAACAAGATGATGAGATGAGACCAGCACGGAAATTAATAAAAAATGTTGGATCAGAAATAATGCCAAAAGTAACAATTTCAGAGGTAACTACAGCATTGGAAAACATGAAGAGAAATAAAGCTGCAGGAGAAGATAGTATAACCACAGATATGATATTAGAAGGAGGTAAGGAACTAATTGCAATTGTAACTAAGCTTGTGGACAGTTGTTTACATCAGAGCAAAGTCCCTAAGAGCTGGAACAACTCTAAAGTAATCTTATTACACAAAAAAGGTGATACGTCGAAAATTGGAAAACTACAGACCCATCAGCCTACTGTCACACCTATTTAAAATACTCACCAAACTCATAACTACTCGACTAACAAGGAAATTAGAAGAATACCAACTATATGAACAGGCAGGTTTTAGAAAAGGCTATTTAACTTCCGATCACCTGTTAACCACAAAAATATTAATAGAAAAATGTAACGAATACAAGTTTCCAGTTTTCCTAGCATTTGTAGACTACGAAAAAGCTTTCGATACCATAGAACACACGGCCGTAATAAACACAATGCAAAATTGTAGAATAGATAGCAGATATATTAACTTAATAAAAGAAACTATGAACCAAGCTACAGCTACATACTACATAAATGAAAATGAACACACGAACCCTGTACCATTAAACAGGGGAGTCAAACAGGGAGATACTTTATCACCCAAACTGTTCAGCTTAGTTTTGTAAAAAATTGGCTACAAGTAGCGTACAATAAAAAACAATGGAAAGGAAGACTTGAAGAGGCTTATGTTCAGATGTGGACGTGAATGGCTAGACGAAGAAGAAGAAGAAGGGTCAAATGGAATGTTCATTTTCCGAAGATCTGATTGGATGTTATCTCTCCATCGCATTCTGGGACGTCCGAGTGGTCTTTTGCCTGTGGGAATCTCCTCCCATACCAGTTTAGTAGTCCCTACTATGTACCAAATTTTATTGTCGAAAGATAGTCAGCAGCCACATTATTGAAAGAAGTGGTAAGTGAATACCGTGTAATTTACCGTGAGAGACTCTCACCGCATCCGATTGTGCTGGGCAAACGATAACTAAAATTAAGCAAAAACTTCTTAGTTAAACAATATCTGTAACACAGTGTACCCAATAGGGTACACTGTACAAGTCAATTATGCCAGAACAAACAATTATTGTTTGCATGGACAGATTGATGAGTACAAGAGTTAGAAAACGCTTAATTTGGGTTTAATCTCATATAAAATGATATTCAAATGTGTCTCTTTTAAAAATTAACAAACGTTACGAAAAAAAGTCTTATTTTTATTTTAATGACCATTTTATACAAAAACTAAATTTATCAAGTGTACCTTTGCACATAACCAAGCTAAAATAAAATGTTTATTTTCGGTTTGTTGTAATCCCTGAAACTATAGTATAATGTATTTTGTACCGTAGTATGTTTTTTGACATCCTACAAGTTTAGGAAATAAATAATGTAAAGTAATATCTTTCACAAACCCCGTTTGGTGCTACCAAAACCATGCAATCTTGACGATCTTTAGCACCCCCAAAAGTAGTTTACCTTGTTACATCGTACTGCCATCTGTATGTACGAAAATGGTACAATAATATTGGGGATTAGAGCTAGTGAAGTCGTGGTTAATATAAAATTTAAAAAGTAAACGTTTTAAAGTAGTTGTAGTATTAAAAGTTGTAGAAAGTTTTGTAGTATGGTTTGAATTGCAGTAAAAAGGTAAACGGCTGTAGCAAAAAGAAAAAGTTTTGGATAATTTATTACGCATATACTCAATACCCGCAAGCTGATCATTTTGTCGTAGCACTAGAAGAAATTTGCACCCATAATAATTGTTTACCTTTAACGCATCCATATTTAGGATCAGTTTTAAAACCAGGCGGGCAGTATTGGCATTTCGGTTTGTGATCTTCTACGAAGCATGGCGTGCTTTCTGGACAATTGGCGGTTTTGCATGGATCTTCGCATCTAAACGCTCTGCAAGCTTGATCTTGCGGGCAACCGTTGTCTCTTAAACATATCGACAAAGAAGGAGTACAATCTTTCAAACAAATACAAACTGGTTTATGGTTAACCACGTCACAGCTTTTGTCAGCGGGACAGGCTGATCTGCCGTGAGCTGTGCAAGGATTCTGGCAAAGTCCCTGTATACAGGATTTATTCGTAGGACAATGGCTGTCTTGGTAACATTCAGTGTTGTCAGGAGCACAAGATATCTCTCCTTGATCATTGACCAGAAAACCTTTCTTACAGACACATGTTGGTCTATGATGGTGTACTTCACACTTCTTATTTCCTCTGCATTTAAACGATTTGTTCTCGCAGGGATCTACACATTCTCCAGTCGATATTTCACAAGCCAAATTATCAGAGCAATCTTCGTTCGATAAACAATGTATCTTGTTAGGTCTTCCATGTATCGTCAAACATTTCTCATCGGGATAACACGCCGTGCCTGCCATACCAACGTAGCATTCTGGACAGGAACATCTAGGTCTATGTAGAATCGTCTCGCACAGGGCGTTCAGTCCGCAGGCTCCTCTCAGCGTGCACGGGTTAACGCATTGGAAGTTGATGCAAGCTTTGTTGTTCGGGCATTCTAAGTCACTATTACACTCAGCAGCTACGGAAACACCAGGGTGGGCAAGAAAAGAAAGCATTTTATAAGAAAACAATACCGTAGAAAGAATGCACAATCAATACGCATGCGGGCTTGATAAAGACAGTCAGAAGGATGGAGAGAAATGAAAGAGGCCATCTCAACATGACCGATCAAAGCGGCAGTATTTACAAGCATCAATAGCTTTGTAGCTTTAGCTTTTTAGGGTGAATATAGAAAATAAATGCTAATATACAAATATCAATGTGAGAATGCTCCTTTCATCCTACAGAATTCAGATCTAGATTTTAATTTTTAATCAAAATTGCGAGTGTATTTTGAATTCAAAACGCCTACGTTGATTGGCAATCTATTACTTGAACTTAAATGGTTTTAATTATATACAAAGAGTTTAAAATTTTACAGTGCTTTAGATTATATAGCAGCATGTTTGACCAGTGTTGTCTAAACACTATTTCGCCCAATTTGGTTAAAAAAGGTCGAACATTTTTTCGCAGATATCTGAAGCTTTTAAGACATAGGTGAGGGTTACTAGTTGACGACTAGATGAAAAAGTACTCGTATTTTTACCTTGCGTTTCTTTAAACAATAATTTATGGTCACTATTTGATTTTTTATTTATACATTTTTTCCCTTATATTTTACATAAACAATATTTATATCATTTTTTTTTATATCAAAAATATCTTTATTTTCCCGTTTTTTAAATTAAAATTGATAAATAATATGATAAATCAAAGGATTCTTTAAGACTTAAACCATCTCAGAAGTTAAATGCATATTTATCTTCAAAATAAAAATATCTGTCTAAAAATAGATAATACTAGGATTACAAATTCAGATATAATATCAAACAAATTTAATGATTACTTTATAGATGCACCAGTGGGTATAATTAAACCAAATTTAAATTTTCAGCATTCCAATGATTTTGTTCAAAGTAGTTTGTTCCTATCTTATGTAACAGAGGAAGATGTCTTAGATATAATAAAATATAAAATTAAAAACAAAGCATCGTGTGGTTTTGCTGAAATATCAGGTATAGTAATTAAGAAAATTGCGTCTCAAATTTTGACACCACTGACTCACATTATAAATGCTTCTTTCAATACTGGTGGTTTTCCCAATATGCTGAAAACTTCTATCATTTCACCGGTATTAAAACAAGGTGATCCTGAATTAATGTCAAATTTTCGACCATTGTCTGTTCCATCTGTGATATCTAAGATTATTGAATATGCAATGCTAAAACAACTTTTATTATTTTTAGATATCAACCAAATTATCACAAAGCATCAACATGGATTTCGAAATAAATTTTCTACTTCCACAGATATTAACAGTTTTTATGAGGAAGTCTTACTCTCAATTAAGAACAGTGAAAATCCAACTGCCATTTTTTGTGATCTCAGTCGTGCATTTGATTGTGTGCAACACGATGTGCTCCTCGATAGATTGTACATATATAGTGTTAGGGGAGTTGCCCATAGTTGGTTTGTTTCCTATCTGAAAGACAACGGAGTACCACAGGGCTCAATATTGGGCCCTATATTATTTATTTTGTATATTAATGAACTACCACATGTAATGCCTGATGCATTTGTATCAGTTTATGCAAATGACTCAACAATGCTATATCGCGATAAAGACATAAATTTTTTACAAGATAAAATAACAAACTCTCTGAAGACCTTCTCTGATTGGTCCAATAATCAGTCGCTGCTGTTCAATGTTCACAAAACTAAATTTTTATCATTTACATCACGTTCAAATTCAACTAAACCTGATTTAAGTATTTCCATCAATGGTGAGGATATTTTGAGTTGTAGTGATGTGAAGTTTTTAGGAGTGACTTTCGACTCTCATTTATCTTTTAAGACTCATTGTTGGAATGTATGTAAAAAACTTAATTCTATATGTTATCAATTGAGAAATTTGGGTAGAATACTTAGTCTGGAACACCTTTGTCTTTTTTATTTTGCTGAGGTACAATCGACAATAAGTTACGTTATAACTGTCTGGGGTGGTTCTTCTAGTGTAAAGGACGTTTTCAAGGCCCAAAAGCGTATTGTCAGATGTATAGCAGGTGTTCCGTATGGTTGGTCTTGTAAAAACCTATTTAGAGATTTGAATAGAAAGAAAGAAAAAACTTTTTTATGTAACAGTGATATTCACTCACACAACACAAAAAATAAGAGACAGTTTGTAGTACCCTATCGACATTTAGAAGTAAGCAGGAAGTCATCTACTATCTGTGGTTTACTACTGTATAATCAACTTCATCAAAATTTTAAAAACATTAATTCAACTACAGCTTTTAAAAACCAAGTCAAAGAGTACCTAGTGATCATGTGTCCTTATACATTAGGTGAATATTACGAAAGTGTATCTGTGAATGCCTAAGCTGCAACATAACCAAATTTATTAATATTTTAATTATATGTCTATATTGTACGTTTTTTAAGTATTTTAATGTTTTAAATATTTTTAACGTATTGTTTCCATTTTTTGTAATATTTAATATTTGTAATTTTATTTTTGACTTGCTGTAAACCTAATTGTAACTTACAGTTAAATAAACTATCTATCTATCTATCTATTGCGTTTTTATAGAAATTATGTACATAATAAACGTTTGAAAAAGGGGTATGTTTTTTACTTATAAACAATTGTAATAACTTCTATATTTTTTAACCTACAGACTTATATGTACAATTATATGGATAACTGGTAAAAAAACATTAAAAAACCTTTTATGACCAATAGGAACGAAATTAGGGACTATTTTTAAAAAAATCATATTTTCATTGTTTAGAAACATTAAGAAGTAAAATTTAAACCAATTTTGAACGAAAATCTAAACTTTATATTGAAACTTATAGCTATAAAATTCATCCAATTTTTCGAAACTTACAGCTTTTCGAAACGAAGGTACTTTCGAAAGATCGACATAGGAAATTGGAGGTGATAACTTTCACTTCTGTTTTTTTTTTCGACATCGGAATTTTAAATTAAACCACAGGAAAAATTTACATTATCTCGGCTTCCGTTTTAGCTAGAAGCCTCTTTTTTTAATGTGGGGTAGCTCGTCGAAATATGAGTAACTACAAAGTTTTCACTGGCCGGGATATATGGGAAACCTCGGAAAAATTGAGTCAATTTGAAATTCACCGTAAAAACTTACTTTTTTTTAATTTGGCTGGAAAAGTATGTCGCAGTATTAATAATGATGACATAATTTTCCCCTGTCCCCGGAAATCTCGGAAAATCCCGGAAAATCAACATAATTATAATTAATATAAGAAATATAATAACATAATGTGTATAAAACTACCTAAAATTTAATTTATAAAATATATAAGTATTGTTAGGTACATCATTGACATAAAGTGGAAAAGAATATATGTTGATTTTCCGGGATTTTCCGAGATATCCGGTGGGGGTGAAATTTATGTCATCATTATTAATACTGCGACAGACTATTCCAGCCAGATTTAAAAAGAAGTAAGTTTTTACGGTGAATTTCAAATGGACTCAATTTTTCCGAGGTTTCCCATATTTCCCGGCCAGTGAAAACTATGTAGTTATTCATATTTCGACCAGGTATAAATATTAAAAAAAAGGAGGCTTCTAGCTGCAATGGAAGCTGAGATAATGTACATTTTTCCTACGTGTTTCAATTTTAAGTACCGATCTCGAAAAAACAAACGGATCTGAAACAGTTATCCCCTCCACTTTCCCATGTCAATATTTCAAAAGTACCTTCGTTTCGAAGAGCTGTAAGTTTCGAAAAATTGGATAAGTTTCAATATAAAAATTAGATTTTCATTGAAAATTTGTGCAAATGTTACTTCTTAATTTTTATAACAATGCAGATATGATTTTTTTTAAATAGTCCCTAACTTCGTTACTATTGGTCATTAGAAGCTTTTTTTTTAATGTGAGTTTTTTATTAGCTATCCAATGCTTGTACATACAAGTCTGTAGCTTGAAAAATATAGAAGTTATTACGATTGTTTATAAGGAAAAAACATACCCCTTTCTCAAACGTTTATTTTGTAAATATTTTCGATAAAAATGCAATATGCATTTAACTTGTGAGATAGTTTAAGTCTCAAAAAATCCTTTTAAATTGGCTAAATGTGTCTAGCATCATTTAAATAAAGCAATCAATTAAATAGCTTTTAAACTATTTGGCCGATCGGGGGGAAATTTCGCACAAATATAAAAGACGATAATTCCTCGATGTTCAAATGTATAAATATTTTATTTTGTTAATAAAAAAATGAATAAAATATATAAATTAACGAAAAAAAACTGTTTTTTTGCAAATATATCCGTAAATTATTTATCAATTTTAATTTAAAAGGCGGGAAAATAAAGATAGCTTGATATAAAAAATGATATAAATATTAATTATGTAAAAGACAAGGAAAAAATCTTATAGACAAAAAATCAAATTGTGATTTTTAAAAATTATTGTTTAAAAAAAACGCAAGGCAAACATACGAGTACTTTTCCATTTATTCGTCATCTAGTAACCCCCACCTAACCTATGTCTTAAAAGCTTCAGATGTCTGCGAAAAATTTTTCGACCTTTTTTTTAACCAGACTGGGCTAATAATAATTCAAGCTTAGTTAAAATAAATAACAAAAAAAAATAAAAATAATCTACTACGCGCGCGCCATCTCTGAAGCAATGTTTTTAATATACTTTTATTGAAGCATGGACTCTACTCTAATATTATGTAAGAAAGACGGCAAACTTTTGTCATATAAACATTTAGAGGAATATTAAAAATTACGTTGACTGTCAGTGAAATTCATGTACTTACTATAAACACAAAATAATAAACAATTAGAATGCCCACTCTGCTTGAAAAAGTAAGTACCTACGCGCATCTCGTTTGCGCAGACGGAATCAGCCATGTTTTAAAAGGAACCAGTGCTGTTTAGTGACATTTTATCTGGTGTTCATAGACAAATTAACCCGGTTAATCTATTTATGGCAACTACAGACATAATATGCATTATTTTATTCGTAGTTTTAGTTGAAATATAGATTAAATTATTTCAAATATACTAAATTATTCATCTCTAAAAATTTAAATGGGTAGCGGGTAGGAACTCTTTAAACTCTTGAAGATAGTCCTATCAGGGAAAATGAATCAATCCCTGCCCTCCGCAGATTCCGGGGGTTTCCTGACCCGGGAAACTAGTACCTGTTTAGGGTCCCTTGTCCAGGGTTACGGATGAAGTCCACAACGGCAAACACGGCGGAGAAGCGGAGCTTCGGTACGGTGTGGATGGCGGAAGTGGCAACCCTCGATTTTAGGGTTGATATAGAACTCCTTTTATTGGCCAACGGTTGCGGGCGGACGAGCTAGTAAGAGACAAGGGCACTCTTTTGCCCTGAGACTGAGAAATCGATCTTGAAGGCGGACGAGCCGAGAAAACGGCCAACGGCGTAAGAATGCAGAAGGCAACGGGAAACCACTGCATTAAAGACTCTTGGAGTATCCCTAGAAATCGTCATGGCTAATAAAAATGACAATCAACAACCTACTAATCATGGTTCTCGGATGCCAAGATTCGGCAGGGGAAGAAACAGCAGTAACGACAGGGCTTCCCAGGCCGTTAGTCAGCGAAATCCCTGTTCACTAAATATATACAAATCCACTTACAAAATAGCTACATGGAATGTAAGAAGTAGGTATGAACCTGGGAAACTAAGAAATACACAGCAAGAGATGATGCGACTAGAGATCGATATATTAGGAATAAGCGATACAAGATGGGTCGGCTCTGGCGAAATCAATACAGACAATGGACGAATTTATTACTCTGGAAGCAGCGACACCCAACACAGATATGGAGTTACTATGATCCTCACTGAAAAACTAACGAGATCAGTAACAGGCTTCGTTCCGATATCTGAAAGAATTATAATGGTGCAATTATTGACAACCCATGGAAAAATGAATTTAATTCAGATTTATGCACCAACTGCTGACAAAAATGAAGAAGAAATAGAAAACTTTTATAGCGAACTTCAAAAAACATTACATCTCACAGCATCTAGAGACGTAACAGTAATCATGGGTGATTTCAACGCAAAAATTGGCGAGGGAAAATGCTACCCTAATGTAGGACCATATGGGCTTGGTGAACGAAACGACAGAGGGGATCGCCTAATAGAATTTTGCCAGGAGCACAATGTTATAGCCGCAAATATATTCTTCAAATTACCTAAGCGACGCCTTTATACATGGAAATCGCCAGCTGACAAAGACAACAAAATCGTCAGAAACCAAATTAATTACTTCCTAATAAAACACAGATATCGAAACTCAATTCAGGCAGTAAAGGCATATCCAGGAGCGGACGTATCTTCTGATCATAGTCTTCTTATTGCTAGATTTCAACTTCAACTAAAAAAGACACAAAAAAGCCGCAATAACAATAAACTTAACATACAGAAACTAAAGTCAGAAGAAACAAAAGAAAATCTGAAACACGAAATCAACACAAATCTAGACAGAAACCCAGGAAATAACTGCAACGTAGAGCAGCAGTGGCAATTCTTCAAAACCTCTATATTGGAGCCAAGTAAGAAACTACTTACAACAACTAAATATAAGAAAGAAGAATGGATGACAGAGGAAATTCTAGAGTTGATGAATGAAAGGAGAAAAAACAAAACCATCAATAAGACGCGCTATAAACAGCTTCAAAACCAAATAAGAAGAAAAATTAGGGAGGCTAAAGAGACCTACTTCTCTGAAAAATGTAAAGAAATAGAAGAACTTCAAAACAGATATGACAACTTCAAAATACATAAAAAAGTCATAAAAGTCATAAAAAAGAAGCATCGGAAGAAGACGAATTTCATGGCTGAAGAACGTGAGAGAATGGTTTGGATGCAGCTCAAAACAACTATTTAGAGCTACTGCCTCAAAAATTAAGATAGCTATGATGATTGCCAACCTGCGTAGCGGAGATGGCACCTGAAGAAGAAGAAGAAAAATTTAAATTACAGTTCTGTCGTAGCTTGTCACAAATTTCTCAATTTGAGTCTATGTTTCCGTATAAAATATGGCGTTCGCGTGCTGACACACTTCAAAGGCGGCATTTGAGAGTGGGCATTCTGATTGTTTATTATTCTGTACTATAAATTTATACTTTTTAAATATTGTGTCCTACGTTCAAATAATTTAGTGACAAATGCCAACATTGTAGACAGGGCAAATACCTAATTATACATAATTTTATACAACTTTCTTCACTAAAGTTTCTACTGTGAAGTACCACTATTTCTGAATTCTGTAGTATACTTCCTCAAGATACCTGGTGCAGTCAAGAAGTACAATTATCAGTTTTATTAGGACCTGAACGTAGGCAACACAACAAGCGCGCAAAGGTACATTTCGGGGTGAAAACTGCACCAAGTTCTGAGCCGAAGTATAGTTCCCAATCTGACATATCATCATACCCGCTGCGCGGTGGCTTTGCGCTGCTGGTGCTTATATTTTCAGTGTAATGTTTATTAAACCAACTGCACTCAGTTGCGTGGAATGTGTCTGATAGTAAAAATATCGGGTGATGGGAAGCATTATTGATTAGGATAATGTGACAGGCAGATTGGTACCGTAAAAAGTGTACATTCCACATGACGGAACAACTAGTACATTATTTACAAAGAAAGAGTATCTTCAATCAGGTTGTAGCACTTGGAAAATATTGGATATGTTTTAAATATGTCGTTGCTGTTAAAGTTTTAATAAGTTTAGACCATCAAGTAATATCTTTGGACTTTGAAAATCAAGTTATTGGAAAATATGATCATTTATATTTGTGACAATTATATTATGAGCTAAACTTTTAGGTTTTATAAAAATATATACATATTTTTAACATAAGTCACCCATTATATATTTATATTTAGAAAAACTTATAAAAAGACAAATGACCAATGACAAATGACAGGTGACGTTTTAACAGAAACTAATTCAAATGATAAATACAAGGAATTTTAGATTAAAACAGTGAAGAAAGTAGTTCTGATGTGACTGAGTGGAATGATGTGAATATTTGGAGATTAGGCATCGAGAATTTCAAATCACGTTCTATTATAAATTTATCAAAGATAATCTCTTGATGACCTGCTTGATTAAAACTTTATTTTTAACGACAAGATTACGTCAGGATTATTGAACATTTCTGACGAGTAGGTTTATGTGATTGCAAATTGTAGATCGAGTGAAACTTTTGTACAAAAAAGAATATTGAATCTAGAAATTATTGCGGTATGTGCCACTTCCTTTATCTAAGAACCACGACCAAAAATACTGTATTAAATAACAAACAGCATCTGCGTGCACGAATTTTTGTACATAAACATTGGGTGTGTATTATTTGTAACATTTTTTTGTAAAGTAGTCAAACGTTTACAAATACTGGGGCTCATTGCAATATAATTCAAAACTTAAATCTTTTGTAATACAAAAAATTATTTTACTACTTTGTCCAGACCGTAAAAGATTGGCTACTTTTTGAAAAACATTCTAAATTACGCAACTGTATATTTTTCGACAACAGAAAGCCTTGTACTGTATACAAATACAAAAAATTACATATAAAATCTAATAAATTTAAAAGTAGATCGACTTTTGCACGGTACCCACACTCACCCTTGTCGCATCCTTTGTCAGGAGTACCTGAATAACCTGGTAAACAACGGCAAACAAAGAAAGCATGTTCTCTTATGCATTCAGAGTTTTTACCACATCCCTCTGTCCTACAATCTGGCGTTGTTTTTTCTATAGAACCTAAAAATTAAAAACACAAGTAAGAGGTAATATTCTCATATATAGCATTTACTCAATGTTGTAGTAAGGCTGTTTAATTTAAGCTATCGAGGTGGCTTTCAAACTTTAAGTTTAAAAGATTTGAGACGAAATGCGAACAACGTAGGCAACAAAAATACGTACAAATAAAAAACAAAGATGGAAACATTACTAATGATAAAAACAGAATCCTTGAGGTTGTCGAATCCTTTTATCGCGAAATATATGAGAGCACCGATGAAAGGCAAGATCAGCTCCTGATCTAAACGAGTATGGATCAACATAAATAGAGAGAAGCTCAGTCATTTGAGATTTGCAGATGACATCGCCCTTACAGCCGATCGTATGGGTGATGCAATAATAATGTTTGAAAAATTATATCACGCTTCCTTGGAGGTCGGACTAAAGATTAATATGAACAAGACGCAAATAATGACTAATCTGGTTTTAAATCGAAATATTGCTGTTGATGGAAGGGTTATTGTGAAGGCTACATCGTATAAGTACTTAGGACATGAAATTCGGTTGGGCAGAGATAACTAGACATGTGATCTTTCACGTCACATAGGATTAGCCTGGGCAGCGTTTGCCTAGGCTAAGAGAAAAAAGTTAAAGAACCCGCAGGCTTATACAAACCTAGAAGAGTGGGTGTTTGGCAGATAACCAAGGCAAACCACTGTTAACTGTGGAAGAAAAACTAGACACTTGGAAGAATTATGTGGAAGTAACTTTTGCACATGAAAGGCAGACTACCATTGAATACACTGAATGCCAAACAGGACCCCCGATTACCATTGAAGAAGTCACGTCAGCTATTAAAAAACTAAAGATGGTAAAGCGGTAGGGCCTGACGAGTTTTGTGCAGAATTCCTTAAACTTATGGATGAACAGGGAATAAAATGGATAACCACTGTATTCAACAACATATACGTAACTGGAAAAATACCCCAAAGCTGGTTAAAGTCGGCCTTCGTGACCATACCAAAAAAAGTAAATGCCAAGATATGCGAAGACTACAGAACAATTAGCCTAATGAGCCACTTACTTAAAACGTCCTTGAAAGTGATACACGGCAGAATATATAAAAAATGCGAAGAACAAGTATCTTGGACGCACTTTGGATTCCGCGATTTCTTAGGCACCTGAGAGGCTCTATTCGCTGTCCAAGTGCTTATGCAAAGGTGCAGGGATGTTAACTGCGATGTGTATATTTGTTTTATCGACTACAAACAGCCAATATTAAAGTGGATGATCAATTGACAGAGGCAGTATCCATAGATAGAGGAGTGAGGCAAGGATGCATTCTGTCCCCGGTGTTATTTAATATATACTCTGAATATATCTTCGAGCAAGCGCTGGGAGAACTACAACAAGGCGTATTAGTCAACGGCATGCGTCTAAACAACATTAGATATGCCGACGACGTAGTAGTTTTTGCAGATAGTCTGGACGGTTTGCAAAGAATAATGTCGCATATATCACATATAAGTAGAGAACACGGACTTGATCTTAATAGGAAGAAAACAAAGTACATGGTAGTCAGTAAGCGCGAAATATTAAATACACAGCTTTTGGTTAACCAACATCCAATTGACAGAGTGTACAGCTACACATACCTTGGTACCAACATTAACAGCCAATGGGATCACTCCAGTGAAATAAAACAACGCATAGGAAAAGCGAGATCAGCGTTCATAATGATGAAGTCTCTTTTCAGAAGTCATGATTTACCACTTGCTACCAAAATCTCTCTCATTAGATGCTATGTATTTTCTACCTTATTATACGGAGAAGAGGCCTGGACACTTTCCGAAGCTTCCTTAAGAAAACTCGAGGCATTAGAGATGTGGTGTTACAGACGTATCTTAAGAATTTCATGGGTGGATCGTGTGCCTAATGTTGAGGTCCTACGTAGAATAGGCAAGGAATGCGAGATTATTAACACCAAAGAGCGCAAACGAGAATATCTTGGCCATGTTATGAGGAATGAACAGAGATACGGCTTGTTGCAACTCATTCTTCAGGGCATGGTATTTGGAAAGAGAGGACCAGGGAGAAGAAAAATATCTTGGCTTCAAAAGCTGAGAAAGTGGTTTAATACATGGACAACCGGACTATTCAGAATAGCAGCAAGCAAAGTTAGGATAGCCATGTTGATCTTCAACATCCGGAACGGATAGGCACCGTAAGAAGAAGAAGACGAGACCAAGATAAAGAGGCAATACGGAGCAGAAGACGCCCACCAACTAGATGACGACCTAAAGAGTTTTGAAAGAGATGAGGAAGATCTATGTCCAGCAGTGGACGCATACAGCTTGATCATGATGACCGAGGTGACAACATTCCTATAAATTGGTTAATTTTGACCTTTTTTGCACTACCTAAGAAGCAAAATATTTTTTTTAGCAAGTACAGTTTTTTTTGCTCAATCAGTCCATAGAATAATATGGTATATATACAGTGGGGTTTCAGAAATAGAAACGCTATAGGTGAGGCTTTGTCCAGTATGTAGATGTTAGTACAGGGATATTGGAATATATTTTTGGGTTATCGTTTGGGTATTACGAGAAGATATGTTGGGTATAAGATATTACGAGAAGGTCTTTGATACTGTCCAACAGAGACAACTCATAGAAATAATAAGTTAACAAAATCTAGATAATCGTAGCTAAAGTAAAGCTCAAACTTAAAACACACAACAGAGAGAGCAAAGAGGATAGAACTAAGAAAGTATGACCACCTTCTCCAAGAAGTGCAAAAAGGTATGTCCCCTATTAATATACGCAAAGAAATTGAGAGCAACGATCAAAACAATCAGAAGAAGAGCTCCACTATGAATAATATTTTCACAATAGAAGTTGCAATGGAAAAACGAGTGCAGAGAAATCGAGAAACCCATATAGCTTTAATAGATTTGGATAAAGCATATGACAGTGTACCGAAATCCCAACTATGGATAGAAATGAGTAACTTGGAAATAAACCCAATTCTTATTAACGCCACTTAACAATACTACCAACAAAACTTTGCAAGAATTAAAATGAGACAAGAAATCACCTCTCCTTTTCAAACAACAAAAGGATTAAGACAAGGCTGCTGTCTGTCACCCACCTTATTTAAAATCTATTAGTGAAATGGGTAAAAAAATGTAGAAACATGGGAATAACGGTGAAAGAAAACAAGCTATATACACTTTTCTTTGCGGATGACCAGGTAGTAATTGCCGAAGATAGCTACGATCCTAGCTGTATAATAAGAAAACTGCAAGAAGAATATGAGGTGGCAGGTCTAAACATGAATATGACGAAATGTGAATATCTCTTAGTGGGAACAGAAGAAATATGTGACCTAGTCTTGGAAGACGACTAAATCAAAGGCGTGCAATCCTGCAAATATTTGGGGGTCATTTTCAACAAGAAGGGAAATAGCGCAGATGAAATCAGGGAAAGAATAAATAAGGGCAAAGCAGCGATCCGTGCCTTAAACTCTCTTCTCTGGCAAAAAACAATTCGACGAGAAACCAAAAAACACATTTACGGTCGTATAGTCCAAAGTATTACACTTTACGGTTCGAAAGTACGGGACTACACCAAAGCTAATAGAAACAAACTTATGACGACAGAAATGGATTATCTGAGACGAAGCTACGGTGGATCGAAACTGGAGAGAGTTAGAAACGAACAAATAAGAAACGAAATGAAAATGGAGCGAAATATCAATGATGACATAGAAAGAAAACAATTAATCGGGTTTAGACATGCTAATATAATGGCAGAGTAGAGGATGGCCTAGAAGAGTATGGAAATTGGGAGCGGAGAAGCGGCGACAGCCGTAATCAATCCGTTGTTATATATATATATATATATATATATATATATATATATATATATATATAAACAATACCTAACAAGAAGCTTTAAAGACAGAACTTGAGCCGTTGAAGACCACACAGGAATCCTAAGAATCAACAGAGAAAACGTAACAGAGACATGGAGATTATATTGCTGGGATCTATATACAGATTATAAACGCCAGGAACTTGTTTACCATTCTTAAAGAAATCGAAGAAGGATCTAATATATTCAAAAATGAAATAAGACTGGCGATCAATAAACTCAAGTATAACAAAGCACCAGGTTCAGATATGATAACAGCAGAAATGCTCAAATACTAAAAGAAGTAGGTGTACCACAACACTTAATTTCGCTTATAACTGAAAAATACGAACACACTACTGGAACACTTTAAAAGCTTGACACAGTCTTAAACGATTTCCATCCAGAACAAAATATCAGACAAGGATGTATGCTATATCCACAATTATTTAATATATTTGGGGAGTTAAAAATTGTTCAATTTTAAATTAGTTAAAAGTCAGCAAACTCGGCAAAGTCCATCTCCAACAATTAAAATACACTGCATAGAAACTGTTATAATCTAATACGAGCGAAATAAATAACAGGAAAGCTCCTTTTGACTTAAATACATGGAAATATTAAGTGAAGATTAGGGATGCTTAAAAAATCACAACGTAGATTCTAAATAGGGGATACATTTGCCGTATAAGTTTTTAAAAACTGTTATTATACTTACATTCGATAGTAGGATCCCCTGCAGGTTTATCTTGAGGACAGTAACATTGAGCTTTATCATTTACGACTTTGCACTGGGCACCCACCCCGCATAATTTGTTCTTGCACAGAGAAATCAACTCTCCCTCACACACGCATCCCTTGTACGGATCTCCTATACAGCCAGTGGCACAAACGCATTCAAATCCGCCGTCTTCCTTTTCTTTGCACCTGGTATTAGGTCCGCAAGTATTCTTAAGGCATTCTTCTGTTCGTCCCTGTTTGCATTCTATTTGGGCGTTACCGAGGTAACCTGGTGGACATGTACATAAAGGTTGACGGTCGACTACGCGACACTGGGCATTAATACCGCAAGCTTTTTGTTCCAAGCAAGGGTTTCTGCAAGCTCCGTCGTCTCCACATTTCTTGTTCGATTCACAGTCAGAGTCTTTACGACATTCGAATGGTACACATGCTCTGTTAGCGTCACCTTTGTATCCATCGGGCATAGACAGACCTTTCTGTGATCAGCTGAAGTGCACAAAGCGTTCGTTCCACAAGCATTTGCCTTACAAGGATTTTCGCACTTTCTGTTGCTGCAAATTTCAGCATTTGGACAATCATTATTCGATCTACAACCGGGCAAACATGCTCCTCTTGTACAGATCTGTCCTTGAGCGCAGGATACTTGCGCTGAACACTTATTACGACATTTCTTGTTGACGCAGTTCTCTCCGCATGCGCAATCGTCATTAGTCGAGCATTGTTTCGTACAGTAACCACCCACTTCGTCACAGTCGCAGTTGGGATTGCATTTAATAGCTGGTTGTGTGCAAGCTTTTAGAGGATTGCCAAAAAAGTTAACTGGACAGCTGCACTGAGCTACGTGGTTGTTGACTAAGCATTGAGCGCAGATGCCACATGTTGTAGTTTTTTCACATGGATCTGAAAAAAAAACAAAACTCTTAATAAAATTTGTGGTAAAACGTAAAAGCTGTCATGTCATATGAGTTTATGTTATGGTCAATAGCTAAAATTTCTTGAGAAGTATTTTTTGTAAAGTTACTCACTTTGACATTTGTTATTGATGCATGCCTTATCTGGTGGGCAATCGCTGTCACTACGGCACCCTATTTCACAAATACGATTCTCGCAGATGTGGTTTGCGTTACAAGCAGCGTCAGAGTTGCACACTGTTTTGCAGACTCCTCTTATACATTTTTCATCAGCCAAACAGTTGCGATCCCTAAAAAAAGATACCCTATTTTAAAAAATATTATCAAAATACTAATTGAAATATAAAGAAAAGAGCTATAATTATTTATCAACTTAGAATAACGTTTCGGGAAACTTAGAAAAAAACCAAATGTACCTCCAGAACTTAACGTTCTGTAAAAATTATACAAAATTTGTAAAGGAAAAGGTACGAAACAGTTATTACATTAATAAGAAAAACAAAGGAAAAAAACTTTGATGTAGTGAATATTCAAAAATGAGAAACAAGGTTTATCCTAGCCAAAAATAGTACAATATAGTAGCCAATATAGTAATAAAAAGTTTAAGAATACAAGAGACCTGAAGGTCTCAGGATAAAGTACTGATACTAAAAAATATTTGAACTTTGAAAATAAGGCTATTATCGAGCACAAGTTAATTAAATCTAGCCCAAATACTTTCGCTTAAAATAGCATCCTTAGGGACATTTCGTCAAAATGTAAACTATGAAGATGCTATTTTAAGCGAAAGTACTTGGGCTAGATTTAATTAACTTGTGCTCGATAATAGCCTTATTTTCAAAGTTCATTTATTCGAGCATTCAACTTTATTTCATTTAAAAAATATTTCACAAAACGACGAAAAAAATACGTTGACATTTTATTAACTGAAGAATTTGAGATGTGAGAATCTGAGCCAGAAAACCATTTGAGTTAACGAAGATAGTAACAGCATTGGTCGTCAAAATATCAAATGGGAAAGATATTTAAACATATCAGAAATAAAGAAAGATAAAATGATTGGACTAGATGATGTCCAGGAACAAGTTGGATAACAGATTTGTTTAATAGAATTATGCAAGTGCGATAAATTCCGGATGAATGGAGAAGCATAAAACAAGGCAGATATATAACAAAACAAATACCTAGGGAATATGCAACAATGCACAAACTACAGGACCATAAAACTACGTGGTCACACCATGAAAATATAGAGTGGCCCAAAAGTCTGGAAACGGCTAATTATCTCGTAAAATGCTAATCATAATTGTACAAAATTTGAGGCACACCTATTTTGGGATACGGAGATTCCATATTTGATATGTACAATGTTGCCAGATTTGCAGTTTTTTTTATATTATTAGTAACTTTGGTTTTTCAAATACATCACCCTGTATATTCAGTCATTATTGGAATCTCCTATTCAATACGAGTTCAACCATATGTAATACTTATGATTTTATGTAACCTGGAAGGTCATAAATACATAAAACCGAAGTCTGGCAACGCCTAAATTGTTTCAATAAATTTTTTAATACTAACTATTTTCAAATACATTAAAACGTAACAATTGATAGTTTAGAACATTTTTTAACATAGTAGTTACGTTATTAAGTGTTCAAAATGTGCTCAATTTGTGAGTTGACAGCACCCTAATCGATGGTAGAAGGCGTCTACCACATTTCTCCATGATTATCTAGAAATTATTCGAGATTCATTGATAATTCATTGCCTTAGCTCTGCAAGACTTACTGGTTAAGTTTTGTAAACTGAATTTTTCAAGTATCACTAATAAAAATAATCTTTAGGATTGAAATCGGTGAACGTGGAGGCCATTCAATTCTACCTTGTCTACCAATTTATCGTCTAGGAAATATCTCATCTAAATATCGCCGAACATTTACACCAACTATCTGACGTTAAATTTCTTTCGACAAAAAAAGACCCAATTGAATAAGTATGTCTTTGAGTATGGTTTTCACGCATTCAGTCTTCAGTGTGAATTTACGTCACACCAGTACCTTAAATTGTGTCGATTTACACTTCCACACAGTGTAAAAGTTGCTTCATCGGAAAAACATATTCTGTTAACGAAATTTTAATAATTTTCAATTTTATCCATCATTACCTCAGTAAATCTTCGACCAAAGTCATCTTCACTTAATTCTTGCAATAAGTTAATTTTGTATGATTTAAATTTATTTTTACATAATAAACGTAAGACTGAAGAATGACCTACATCATGTACTTGTGCAACCCTGCCTGGGGATGTATGTGGATCTTCAACAAAATTTTGCTTATATCTGAAGTTTTGTTGTCATTGATAACTCGTTTCGGTCAACCTGATCGGTATCTATCTTTTACTTCTCCAGATTCCTCAAATCGCCTTACAGTTTTTTTGTACCGTCGTCTTATGAATGAATAGGAGAACGGTTTAGAGAACGGCATTTTAGAGAAGCAATTTAAATTGCAGAACTTTTGAACCACAACTACTGTCAATTTTAGTTCATAATTTAAATGGTGAACAAATGTCAAAATCACAGCATTCTCTATTTAAATATTTTAATTTTTTTTTTAAATCTACATATTTTCCACTGTTTTATGTATTTAAGATCTTTCAGACTACATAAAATCAAGTGAACATATGGTTGAACTCGTATTGAATAGCTGAATTCGTGTGAAATTCACACTGAATGCGTGAAAACCATACTCAACGACCACAAAAATTAAATGTACGGTCAGTTATAATAGGTACTTATTTAATTGGGCCATTTTTAATCGAAAGAAATTTAACGTCAGACAGTTGGTGTAAATGTTCGGCGTTATTTAGATGAGATATTTCCCGGACGATAAATTGGTAGACAAGGTAGAATTGAATGGCCTCCACGTTCACCCGATCTCAATCCTAAAGATTATTTTAATTAAAGATACTTGAAAAATTCAGTTTACAAAACTTAACCAGCAAGTCTTGCATAGCTAAGGCAATGAATTATCGATGAATCTCGAATAATTTCTAGATAATCATAGAGAAATGTGGTAGACGCATTCTACCATCGATTAGAGTGCTGTCAACTCACAAATGGAGCACATTTTGAACACTTAATAACGTAACTATCATGTTAAAAAATATTCTAAACTATCAATTGTTACTTTTTAATGTATTTGAAAATAGTTAGTATTAAAAAATGTATTGAAAAAATTTAGGCGTTGCCAGAATTCTGTTTTATGTATTTAAGACCTTCCAGACTACATAAAATCATAAGTGTTACATACAATTGAACTCGTATTTAATAGGAGATTCCAATAATGACTGAATATAGAGGGTTATGCATTTGAAAAACCAAAGTTACTAGTAATATAAGAGAAACTGGAAATCTGGCAACATTGCAAATACCAAATATGGAATCTCCGTATCCCAAAATAGGCGTATCTCAAATTTTGTATAATTATGTCTAGTAATTTACGAGATAATTAGCCGTTTCCAGTCTTTTGGGCCACTCTGTATAGAAGAGAGTAAGTCTGAAATATTTGAAAGAAATACTTTAATAATCTCTTTAGAGCAGTTGATTTGAAAGTTAGTGTAGCTATGATGATTGCCAACCTCTGCAACAAGTCACTTAAGGAAGAATAATTAAATAAACAACCAAAACATTAACTAGTATACTTACACTTTACACGTCGCCTGGCATATTCCACCATGGCAAGTACTGCCTTTAGAGCAATCTTTGTTTTCATTACAGAACTGTACTGGATGTTTACAACCTTCAACTGGATTTCCCGTAAGTGGAAGGGGACAAGTACAAATCTTCTTATGATCTACTATTGCACACTCTGCGTTGATTCCACAGGCCGTTGGAGCTGCGCACAAATCTACGCATTTGCCGTTGATGCACGCTTGATCAGAAGGACATTTACTATCGCTTCTACATCCTATGATGCAAACCAAACCATCGCAGACTTGGTCGCTGTTACAGTCATCGTCTTTTCTGCAGATTGGTTTGCAGACTTTAGAAGGTGTTTCACATCTTTCGTTGCTCAAGCAGTTATTATCTGAAGAACAGATCAGTCTACAAGATCGTTCAATACAGGCATTACCGTTTGGACATTCCCTGTTTTCTCTGCAGACTTGAGGTGGAGCTCTCACACAGCCAACTGTAGCAGACGGATTGGGCACTAGACCCTTTCCGCAAGAACATGTAGCTCTATGATTTGATACTGCACAAATTGCGTTGGGTCCACAAGGATTTTCTTTGCAGGGATCTATACATTTGTTGTTTCTGCAGGATTCGCTACTGGTGCAATCGTCGTCGTTATGGCAGCCGTAGAAGCACATGTTGTTAACGCAGATATGACCCAAGAAACAGTCGTTGTCCACACGGCAAGTTAGTTGGCAGTTTCCTTTGAGACATTTTTCGTTGAAGGCACAATCGTTGTCTGCTTTGCATTGCGGTGTGCACATGTTTTCTTTGCAGATGGTAGTGTTAGAGCAATCATTATTGGTCGAACATGATACAGGAACTGAAAAAAAATATATAATTATTAAGCTTAAAGAAACAAAAGAATATTAAATTTATAAACTATTGCAACAGTTTATAATCATATAGAAGACATACAAGGCTTTAGATATACAAGAACTTGTTTGGCTTTATTTTTAGAATAGACTATGAGAAGAAACAATGGAGAGTACAAGCCCTCATGGTAAAAAAACCGCTTGATATAGAATATGACGACGACGATGACGAGAATGAAGTAAATCCGGAAGTTATTAACGAGAGGTCGAAAGATTCTGAAAGCGAACAAGAACAGGATTTAGAGGAAAAAGTTTTACTGAATAATGTACAAGAAGAAATTGTTTTTAGGGGAAAAGATGGTACAGTGTGGAGAAAGCATTAAAAAAACAAAAGATTACGTATGAGCAAGCCTAATTTAAATCATCTCTACAACATAAAATAATCATAGCTACAACATCTCGTTCAAAGTCTCAATATATACTGTAACAGTTACGGCTTGAAAATTAATTTGAAAAAAACTAAATTTATAGTAATCACGAAATCAAAGAACATTAGAGCTAATCTTGTAATAGACAATACAACGATTGAGCGTGTGCACTGTTATAAATATCTAGGCGCTTGGATCACAGACGATACTGATCAAACAAAAGAGATTAGATGTAGAATAGAAATCGCTATATCAGTCTTTAATAGAATGCGCAAACTCTTTTGCAATCGTGATATCAATAGAAAGTTACGAATACGAATGCTGCGGTGTTATGTCTTTTCTACCCTGTTATATGGAGTTGAGGCTTGGACACTAAAACAGTTGACCATAAAAAAACATCGAAGCTTTCGAGATGTGGTGCTATAGGCGCATTCTCAGAATATCATGGATGGACCGCGTCACTAACACGCAAGTACTCCAAACTTTAGACAAAAGATGCGAAATTCTAAATGAGATAAAAACTAGAAAGATGGAATACTTGGGGCACATTGTGAGAGGTGAAAAGTACGAACTTTTAAGAAATCATGCAGGGCAAAATTAAGGGCAAAAGAAGTGTGGGAAGAAGAAAAATATCGTGGCTTCGTAATCTACGTGAATGGTTCGGGTGTAGTTCGATTGAACTTTTCAGGCGTGCTGCTAACAAAGTCGCAGTGGCCATGATGATTTCCAATCTCCGCTAGGAGTGGCACGAGAAGAAGAAGAAGCCTAATTTAGTAGAACAATCACCTGGGCCTAACAGATTTACGAAAAAGTTGAAAGACATTTATGAAATATGGAGTTATTTCATTGATGAGGACATGATTTACATAATTGTAGAATCCACTAATAAATACATTGAAAGTGTAGCAAGCAATTTCTCTAGAAAGAAGGATGCAAAGCTTACAAACCCATCTGAAATTCGTGCTCTTATAGGCCTTTTATATTTGGCAGGGACATATAAAGCCCATCACCTGAATACAGAAGATATCTGGCAAACTAATGGAGAAGGCATCGAAATATTTAGACTAGTTATGTCCTTATGCCGATTTTGGTTTCTTCTAAGATGCATTAGATTTGATAATAAGGTCGATTGTGAAAAACGTAGGAGACTAGATAAGATGGCAGCCATTCGAGTATTTTTTGACAAATTCGTAGAGAAGTGTAAATCGGGATATAGCTTTCGCAGAATTTAACATGCGATGAAATGCTTCCAGGATTTTTAGGGAATTACCCTTGGATACAATATATTCCAAGCAAACCCTCAAAGTATGGGCTCAAAATTTTTAGATTATGTGATGCTAAAATGTATTATACCATAAGTATGGAGGTTTATGTGGGTCTTCAAATAGATGGCCCATTTACTGTAGACAATTCCTCGAAAAAATTGCAAAAAGAATGTGTGCGCCAATAAAGAATTCTGGGCGTAACATTACTCTAGATAATTGGTTTATTAGGATTTCTCTAATAGATGTTTTAAAAAAGAATTTGGATTGGCTGTTGTGGGGACCATTAGAGAGAACAAAAGAGAACTGCCCCCTGAATTACTTCTCGTCCTCGAAAATCAAGTATGTTCGCTTTAAGCGATACATGTATCATAGTGTCATATATCCCCAAAAAGAAGAAAGTTGTATTGCTTGTTTCAAGTTTAAATGATGACGACGCTATAGATAGAGAAACATTTGAACGTTAAAAAGCAGAAATTCTGACGTTTTATAACAAAACAAAAGGCGGGGTTGACGTCGTTGATCAGCTATGCTCCTCTTATGATGTTTCGCGAAAAACAAGACGTTGGCCCATGGTAATTTTTAACGCCATACTAAATATCGCAGGCATTAATTCAACAACGTTGCTGATAATAAAAATGCTTAGAAGAAATTTTTTGAAGCATTTAGCATTATCTCTTATGGATGAACATCTACGGGTCCGTGCAACACTAGACAATTTAAATAGAGATATGAAGTTGCGTATTAAGGCCATATGCAATATTCCTAACACAGACGGCACTCCAACGAATGAAGGAGTACATGGTAGATGCTACTTTTGCGACCGTAAAAAGAACCGGAAAACGACTGTTTCCTGCTGTAAATGTAAAAAGTTTTTATGCAGAGAACATACACGAACAGTATGCGAAAAGTGCCAAACTGAACTTATTCGCATTAACTAAAATTTTCCTTTTTTTTTATCGGAGTAGAAAATAGTTTTTTTAATGTTCTGTCCAGTGTTTTTAACATTAGTTTACTTTTTATATTATTTTGTAATATGTTACTCTACTTATTAAACCTTAATAGAATCGTGTTTTACTTAAACTGGTTCCAAATACTTATATAAAATACTTTTATTAACACAAACTAAGAAGTAAAAGACCAAACGGTCATTTCGACCGCGCACGACTACTAATTTTCAAAAATTCCTAGCAACTACTGAAGGGTTAAATATTTTCTTAACGTAACTACTTTAATATAAACATTCTATATTTTAAACATTCTATTGTTTTGTTTTATTTTAATAATATGCCATTGAACCCTTTCAAATGACAAACATTCCTAGTTTCCTATTTAAAATAAAATGATTCCAAAATAAGCACTGCCAATAATATTCGTTAAAATCAAACCAGTTACAAATCAACAACACCCAAAACTTGCTATTAGTCAAATAAATTTGGGACAGGTTTTGCCCTCGCCTTATCAGTAAACTAGTTTTAAGTTCTTAATATTTTATTGGTGAAAGAATAATTTTGGGTACGGCTGTATATTACTGGTCATACCACTAACTAATAGCGGCTGTATTGTTTTTTGAAGGTGTGTGAGGAAAGCTGAAATATTATTTGATAAAACGGGAAACCAATAAAAGACGAACCTGATTATCAGTAAAACTAGTTTTAAGTTTTTACATTTTTATTGGCGAATCAATACTTTTGGGTACAACTTGTCATACCACTAAGGAATAGCTTCTGAATGTATTGTTTTTTGAAGGTGTGTAAGTAAAGCTGAAATATTATTTGATAAAACAAAAATCAATAAAAAACGAACGTACCTTGAAGGCGTCTATTTGATTTTTTTTCTTATAAAATATATGGATTACAGACAAAATATATTAAATAAAAATATGCACGAGTAGATTACTGATCCATCCTCTAAATCGCATCCCTTAAAATCGCAACCCTCGGTCGTAAATGCCGAATGGTTTAGCGTAGGATAACGTGTGAGGTATCGTTGGAAAGGGGATGAAAAATGGGGTTAAACGCAATATGTGCCGTACGCATTGAAGCATGCCAAAAGGACATTATGTTGTATCTTCGTTTCTATTGGTCCGATCATGACGTACGAGGGCTCGTTGGAAAGGAGAGGAGACAATGAATACGTTGAGGCAAAAAACAAAGATGGTGGCATTGCCAAATAGTAGCTATAACGTATCTTCGTTGCTATTGGTCTGATTTTGACGTATGGGGTGTCAAATGAAAGCGATGGCGACACATAAGCCAACTGTCATCGTCTAATGTGAACTGTCAATTCTTATTCTTTTAAGTATAGTGCCTAAGAGAACGTGACATTTAACATAGAAAGTAATAGAACGTGACAACGTCTATTGATGGGCATGGACCTGCTATACTACGTTCACCGTTAGACATGTAACAGCGACAAGATTGATGATTTTAAAAAGGCAAGAGGTCAACATGTGAAGCACATGAACATGTTCATTCTGAATATCCATAAAAATATGGCAGTTTGAATACGTTAAGTTTTTTTTTAAATAAACAAGAATTAAATAAACACCTTTAGCACATAGCTCATCAGTGCAATTGTCCGGTGTTCTGAGCACTCTTTCGCATTCTGAAAGTACCAAAATGTGTCTTTTAAAATATCTACCATTTACTCATCGAAAAGCTTTCCTCTGTTTTCATAATTTCAGTACATATTTTACTTCTTGTCGTAAAGTTTTTTCCATTTGCTCATCTGTTATTTGTTATGATCATCCCTGAACAATTCTTTGACAGATTTCGACAACCTATGTATTTAGTTGATGTTTTGTCTTTGTGACAATTTTATCATTTGAGTCTTTTATGATATGTATGTGCTTTTATGTTCTCATTGTCATTTCTTCATTTTTCGGTGAACATTAGCGTTCATATTTTTGTATTTCTTAATTTCTCCACACTGTTCACTTTACAGCGACATTTCTTTTCTAATACTGCAATTAAAGAGATTATAGTATCCACTATTGTTTTTATATGGTCTTCAGACATAGACATGTATAACAATAGTATAATAAATACAAGAAGTTATAGAAGTAAAAGGTGAATACCAGATCGAAGAAGAGCCTAGAGAGAATTGACAAGAGAGCTTGTCAGTTAAGGAGCTATAGGAATTTTACTATCACTACCCTATTCTTTTACTAGGAGCTATAGTTTGTATCTTTCTTAAACCAAAACAAAAACTCAGAAAAGAATTTAAACAGAAGATGTGAAGAGATAAGGAGCGTAATAAGTTGAAAGAAAAGCAAGAAAACTAAGAAGATGGACAGAACATTTTAAGGAAAAGCTTAAGGAAGGCGAACCTTGATATATCATTCAACTAAACATATAGAGAAAATAAACGCTATTTTTCAGCTTTAAGTCCTAACTCTTTGCGAGAACTTTTCACATTTATATTCTCCCTGCTACTATTAGCTTCCTCCATTTTTATTGAGTTAAACAATATGAAGGGTCAGAGGAAAAACGACGAGAAAATTATATTAATTTTCAATTGTGGATAGCAACATGTAGCTTAGTTCCAATAGTAAACGACTGTGGCATTGGTTTTGACAGAACGATGGTAGTCAGTTTACAGCTGTTATTCAACAGTATTATTGGTTCTTGCCGTTAGTCACGTTTCCTTGCTAGTGCGTTGACTTGTGTGTTTTGAGGTTAAATTTGCTTTATTATTTGTTACTATTTGAGTATTGTTTACTTGATATTAGTTTGTTTACTTCCAATTATGGAGTTGGTAGGGGAAATGGACCAAATGCCGAAAAAGAAGCCAAAGATAGGTAGACTTTCCGAAGTAAAGAAGAAACTATTGAAACAAAGTCATGAGGAAGACCCGAACTGTCGTTGTTCTAGGTTAAAGTTATAGGCAGCTAGTTGTCACTAAATTCAATGAAATGGAGGATTATAACGAACAGAACTTATATTTAGGTGGTCTAATAAGAACATCATTGGTGAAACAGCGCAGACCTAGAAATGAGGATCCAGATTCCCACACATATTCTTATTCCTATAAAATAAGGTATTTCGTAGATGAAAATTTTATAGAAGTCCCTATTTGCTACAAGGCATTAATGTCGATAAATGGTATCACACCTCGAAGAGTGTCAACATTACAATCAATGCTGACAAATAAAGGTTGCATTATGAAAGATGGACCAGATAAACATAGTATTAGGCTACATGAACTTTCAGAGGAAACTCTTTCTAAGGTTCATATACCTATAAAATCTCTAAAAGGTCATCATTCTCATTACAGTCGGCATGCCTCAAAAAATATTTATTTGCCAGAAACTCTGGATATAAAAAAACTTCATAGGCTATACAATGAACTTTAATCAAATAAAGTTTCCTATGATTCATACCATATAATATGCGCCATATATTTAACACTAAATATAATATAGGTTTTGGCTATCCACGTACTGATACGTGCAGTACATGTAATCAGTTCAAGGCTCGAGAACAAGATCTGCAAAAACAATTTAATGATAAGCCTACTGAGTAAATATTAAAAAAATTACAGGATGATTTAAGAAATATTAACACTTTAAATAGAAATGGAAGGCATTTGCATAGATTTTCAGAAAAACCTTTGTATACCCAATATATCAACAAATGATGTGTACTATAGGCGGCAGTTATCGTATTACATTTTCAACATTCATGTTCTGGCCACACAGGAAAGTTTTTTATACATACGATCAAACTATTGGGCATAAAGTTTCTGACGAAGTTTCTTCAATACTTTGTCACTTTATTTTCAACTTCCGTAAGCCAGAGGTGCATCAGTTGACAGTGCTATTTCTTGTGCAGGTCAAAATAAAAACTTTACAATGTTGAGACTGACTTATTTTCTTGTACTCGTATGTGGTCAACTGGTCAGTTTGAATATGGTAGTTCCTATACGTGGCCACTCGTACATGGAATGTTCCTCTCGTGAATCAAAATAAAAGTAATGCTTTATCGCGAAGATCTAAGAAAAAGAAAGATTCCCTGACTGTTGAAGTTGAAAAATACCTAGACATTCGACCAAAACCTTCGTACAGTGGAAGAATACCTGTACCCAAACCTAAATACGAGGATTTGCAAGTTTTAAAACAGTTTCTACCTAGGAAATCTCAAGTATTCTATGAGAATTTACCAACAACTAACCTTAGCAGTGAAAGCAATGATGATCCTGATGAAGCTTTTGGGCAAGTTGAATGGCTATTTTTTGTAGGCTAAATAACTACCATAATTGATTTAACACTACCAACCATCTTATATTAAATCATTTTTGCAGAGAATCGGCGTCTACAAGTTTCCAAACAAACAAAATAATACAAAAAAGCACCCATTAAAACCACGTTTGGAGCAAATTACCAAGACTTTTTACATTCGTATTTAAGCTGTTTACATACTTAAAACTCTGTTATCTATAAGAAGTTTAATACATACTAACTCCCATCATTCTTGTATCATATTTTGTGACTCTCATGGTTTTTCTCAATTATGGTATGTATTAAAGTTGTATTGTACTAAAAATATTACGTAAATACACCTTTTTTGAGCAAGTGACACTATTAAGTGGTCAGTTAAAATATATATGTAAGAAGTATATGTAATCGCTATACCTAATATAAATTTACTTACGTCTCACGCATTCTACGTCTTCTTTGCCTGTGAATCCTGGTGGACAGCTACACGTCTTAACATGATTATCAATTAGGCACACAGCATTGATACCACAAGCTCTATTCAAGGAACATGGATTTAAACATTGGCCCTTCAAACATTGTTCGTTAAGTTGGCATTCTTCATTTGTCTCGCATGGTGGACTGCATATCTCTTCGTAGCAATATGTATTCGATGGACAGTCAGAGGTGGTCTTACAGCTAACCAATCTCGGTTTGCACCCTACGCTTTTATCGGTGGCATTTCCTTGGTAGCCGTTCCTGCAAGTACAATAACCGGCATGGTCAACAGCTATACATTCGGCATTTGATCCGCATAATGTGTTTTCGCAGACGTCTTTGCATTTGTGGATTCCATTAGTAGTATCACATTTGGCTTTCACCGGACAATCTGAATTTCTGTTGCATTCTACTGGAGGATTACAGCCGCCGTTGTATGCATCGCCGACGGTACCCAGAGGGCACTGGCATCTAAAAGATCCTCGAGAGTTATGGCATACTGCATTTGGTCCGCACGGTTTATCTTTGCAGAAATCTATCATGTGGCAACCTTTGATAGGATCTCCGGTATAACCAGGCTGGCAGTAACAAACTTGTTTGTGACTTTCTGCAGAACAAAGCGCATTCTTACCGCAAGGATTGTGAACCAAACAAGCAATCTTGCACATGTACTGGTCACACAGTTTGTCATTTGAGCAGTGCTCGCTGGTTTCGCATTCTATTTCTTGACAACCTATTTTGTCATCGCTGGGGTTTCCTTTATAGCCACGTTTGCAGTGACAGGAAGGCTTGTGGTTTTTAGAGAAGCACTCGGCATTTCTTCCACATAGTACTCCCTCGCAAGCATCTGTACATTCGTTTTGGCCCAAATTATTTGCCAGACATTTTTCTGTTAACTCACAATCAGTGTTTATTCTACATCTCTGTTCTTGAATACAAATATTGTTTTGGCAAAATTGATACTCTGGACATGTAGAGTTAGATTTGCAGGTAGGCTGACATATACCTTGGATACACAGTTGATCTTCGATACATTCCCTAGCAGTAGTACAAATCGAAGTGCATATTCCATTATAACATTTTAGTCCTGAAGGACATTGCGACTCTTGTGCACAATATTGTATAGCCACACATCCAATACGTGGATCACCTGTAGTTCCTGGTTGGCAAGCACATACACCTTGATGATCATCAGCAGTACATGAGGCTTTTTCTCCACACACGTTTGGTAATTCACAAGGATTTTGACACTTAGAATCAATACATGTTTTATCTTTAGAACAATCGTTTTTGTCCAAACATTCTATAGGGATACAGTTCTTGTTGGTATCTTCCTTAGTACGTGGTGGACATTTGCATGAAGCTACGTGTCCAATAGGTATACACTCAGCATTAAGTCCACAGATACCAGGTGACTCACAAGGATTTTTGCATTTATTTTCAATACAAGCTGCTAAAGATGGACAGTCCGCATCTGAAGAGCATTCTCCTGGTTTGCGACAACCCGTAGTTAACGGATCTCCCACTAATCCTTCAGCGCATATACACGTAAAGCCTCCATCTGTATTTATGCAAGTAGCAGTAGCGTGGCAAGGATTGGAATCTTTACATTCGTTTATATCTTCGCATTTTTCTTTATTAAACGCATATCCAGCTAAACACGTACATAGAGCTTTGTGATTGCTACTTGAACAAGTACCTTTTCCACAATTGACAACGTCGCACGTACTAATACATTTGTTAGAATGCTCATCGCAAAAGTGGTCTGATTGACAGTCATCTTCTCTAATACATTCTACTTTAAAGCATCCCAGGTTGGAATCGTAAGGATCGCCAAGGTGTTTCGGCGGACATATGCAAGATAATTTGTGCTTAGAAACGTTACAAATAGCACTATTTCCACAGCGATTTGTATCACATGGATCGATACATTTGCCTCTTTTACAGATTAATTTGTCAGAACATTGAGCATCGCGTCTACATTGTACTGGTTCTGAACATCCGGGTTCTGTCAAAGGATTTCCTACTTTACCCTCTGGGCATGCGCAGCTGAAAGATCCTGGTGTATTTTTACAAATAGCAGTCGAGTGACAAGGGTGACTTTTGCATTCGTCTATGTCAGTGCATCCTTCAGGTGAATCTATAAAACCTTCAGTGCATCTGCATTGTCCCTGTATACAAACTTGGGAGGTTCTACAATCTTTATCTAAAGCACAGCCTGGCAGACATACTCCGTTCTTACATACTTCTCCTTGCAAACAGTTTCCATCGCTGTAGCAAACCTTAACGCATATATTTCCGTAACATCTTTCGCCTACTGCACACAAGTTATTGTTTGAACATGAAAGAGCGCATTGATTTTGGGAGCAAATATGATTCTTAGGGCATTCTAAATCATTTTGGCACAATGATGGTATTCTGATACATCCTTGTTGAGGTGTAGGATTTCCTTCAAACCCATCTGGGCATTTACACAGTGTTTTATGATCTTTACAAGAACAAATAGCATTTGGTCCACATGTATCGGCCTTTTCGCAGGGATCTTGACATTTGTTGTTGATACAAGCATGATCAGACAGGCAGTTTTTGTTACTGCGACAACCAATGATGCAAGTATTATTTACACAAGCCTGATCTTTGTAGCATTGACTGTGATCCGTACAACTTACGACGCAAACATTATGGTAGCATGTCTCTCCTACTAAACAGTCTTTGTTGTTCTTACAAATTGATCTACACTGATTGTTAATACATACTTCATCTCCGCAATCGCGGTCATTGTTACAAGTTGTTGATATGCGAAGGCAACCATCTTCAGCTGGAACGTATTTAGCTAGACATGTGCAGACTGCTTTATGGTTGTCTACGGAGCATATACTATTAGGACCGCATTTAATATCTTCACAAGGGTTTACACATTTCCCGTTCTTACATACAGAAGTAGGGGGACAATCGGCATCACCTACTGAACACACCCCTTCTTTCTTACAACCTGACAAGTAAGGTTCTCCGGTAGTACCAGGTGGACATGTACAAGTATGGCTTCCAGATGCTGCAGGTCTGCAAATAGCTGTACTATGACAAGGATTAGGTTTGCACACATTAACAGCTACACATTCTATATCAGCAGTAGGGTTCGGGTTGGTACCAGGAGGACATTGGCAAGTAGCTTTGTGATTTTCCGCAATACAGACAGCATTAGTCCCACAAGCTTCATCATCACACACATAGTGACATTTGTGTGTCATACGATTACATAACTGTGTTGTATGGCAATCTGCATTATATACGCAAGGTACCTGACTACATCCTTTTACCAGATCGTTTGGATCTCCCGCATATGATCCAGAAGGACACTGACATTGCGGTACATGGTTGTTGACAACGCATATTGCATTAGGTCCACAAGTGATCTGATCGCAAGCTGGAATACACATGAGAATATTGTGTTCCGAATGTTTTCTGCAGGTTTCTTGTTCTGGACATTGAGCATCCGATGAGCATTTGTTTTGTAGTAATGGTATGCAACCTTCTCTATCATTAGGATTTCCAGTATATCCAGCTAAACATTGACATTGACCTTTATGAGACTCTGCTACGCAAGCAGAATTTTGTCCACACGTAAAATGAGTACAACTATGTGTACATTTTAGAATACCTATAGCATCGGGTTGACAAGCTTCTACAGATTCACAATCATTGTCAGTTTTACAATCAGGTATTGACGGTTTTTCGCAAACAGAGTTAACAGGATTCCATATATATTCATCACGGCATGCGCAAGTTGGATGACCGCCAACGTCCAATTGACACATTTCGTTTGGACCACAAGCTACAGTTTCACAAGGACTAATACATTTTTGAATACCACTAGCGTCTACTGCGCAGATTGTACCGAAGCTACAGTCTTCATCAGTTTCGCAAATCCTTTGATTTACTCTTTCTTCCAACTGACAACCAAATTCGAGATCACCGGGATTTCCGTTATACCCAGGGGCGCAGATGCACGAAGATCTATGATTTTGTGCAAGACATAATGCGTTTGGACCGCATTGGACTTTACTACAGGCATCCACGCATTTTCTAACTCCTTTGCTCGACTGGAAACATATCTGGGCATCGTGACAATCCAAGTTACTGCTACATTGGCCTTCGGGATGACAACCTTTAACAAGATCTCGAGGATTACCTATGTAACCAGCTGAACAAACACATTTACCACTTTGACAAGACGCTTTTGGACCACATCTGACGTTTTTGCAAAGATTTTGACATTGTCCTCTTTCACATGTATATTCATTTGGGCATAATAGTTTGTCACTGCACTGGCAATCTTGAGAATCTCTACAAATACCGCCTTGGACTTGCGAGCACATGATGAATGGGTTTCCTGCATAACCTTCTTTACATCTACAATCAAAGCTTCCTGGTGTGTTAATACAAACTGCGCTATTGCCACATACTTTACTATTACATTCGTCTATGTCTTCACAAGAAATGTAAGGATTGCCGGTGAAGCCTCTACTGCAGAAACATTCAATGTTGTTTAATGTTTCTTTACACTGTGCGTTTATTCCGCAGGAGTTTGAATTGCAGGATTTCTTCTCGATTCTTTCGCACACTTCGTAAGGGTTGCCGACTGTACCTGTGTTACAAACACATTGATTGGTAAGGCCGTATTCGCAATGAGCGTTTTTGCCACAAGATGGTTCACAATTTGGTTTTTCAATAGCTAAAAAAAGTACAAAAATTAATCATCCTGCAGCTACACTAATACGAACTAAATACTAGTAAAATATTAAATATTAGGTTAAGGACTTACTTGGCATGCATAAAAAGTTGGGATTTCCATCAAACATATGATCGCAGACACACTGATTTGTAGAGTTATCGCAATGGGCACCAACACCACATTCAATACCTTGACACCTTTGTCTACATCTACCGTTGATACAAATGTTCGGTTCTTCGCAGGGATTGTTCTTTGAACAGACATCTGTGGTACATTGACCACCAGGAAATGGATTTCCTAAGAGTCCTTCAAGACATTTACATGTTGGGCCGGTAGGAGTGACGATGCATTGAGCTCCTGAGGCACAAATGAAACCTTCACATGCTGAAAAGAAGAAAGTAATAAATAACTTTGTCTATAAAATACATGCAGATTTTAATAATAATAATGATGGTTAAGTTACCTGATACACATTGGCCTCTGCTGTTTTTCTCGTATCCAACTTTGCATCTACATTTTCCTTTATGATTCTCTGCTAAACAAATTGCATGGTTACCACAAAGTACAGTTGCGCAAGGGCTAATACAGGTTCCGTCTTGGCAACTCAAAATACTGGCACAGTCTGCATCATTCTGACACTCGGATTTAACTGTACCAGGTTCTTCAAGAATGCAACCACCTTTATAAGCATCTCCTGTCATTCCTTTAGGACATACACATTTGTAGCCACCATGCTGATTCAAGCAATGGGCCCCATAAGCACAAGGATCGTCTTTGCATTCGTCTATATCTGTGCATCCCTGAGCCGGATCACCTCTGAAACCAGCTTCGCACATACATTTTGGTGGATCGGATGGAGTACATTTGGCATTAATACCACAAACAAAACGTTCACACGGACTTTTACATTTATTTCCGTCTCTTTGATCGTTGAAGAATGGTGGGAAACATACACATTCGCCAGGTTGAACGCATTTTTCATTAGTAGGACACTCTTTATCGCTTATACATTTTTTCTGAGCAGGAGAACATTGTTCTTTGTACGCATCTCCAGAGTACCCTTGTGGGCAGTGACATTCATAAGCGCCCAAAGTGTTAATACATTGTGCGCCGTATCCACAAACATGTTGTTGTTCTGCACATTCGTTTATATCTACGCAAGAGCCATCTGGTAAAGTTTTGAAGCCTTTTGGACACGCACAGTAGCTAACTCCTCCTGTTATTGTTACACATTCAGCTCCACTGGGACAGGAACCATCGGGACCACAACTGTCTAAAACGCAATTGCCTTCATGTAGTTTGTATGGTGGCTGACAACGGCAATCAGGGCTGTTACATTCCAAACACTCCAAGAAAGGATTGCCGTTGAATCCTGGAGGACAGTGGCAGTCATAACTTCCAGGTAAGTTTTTACACATAGCGTTAATGCCACAGGCTGCTTTTTCTTTCAATTCCAAACATTCGTTGATATCTCTACATTTATTACTCGATTTATCTCTAGTGTATCCTTGAACACAGATACAAACATTTTCATTTAAGTACTCATCCAATACACATTGTTCTCCAGCCGGACATGGATTAATATCTGAGCATTCTGTAGGTTTTGTGGATTTCAGACAGCCCGAGGTAAAAGGATCTCCTGATGTGCCTCCAGGACATTGACAAGAGAACGCACCAGGCTCGTTTTTACATATAGCTCCAAGGCCACAAGGATTTCCGGCACATTCGTCTATATCTACACACCCAAAGCTGGTACCAGTAAATCCAGAACTGCAAATGCATTTTGCTTCTTGATTGATTAACATGCATTCTTCGTTAGATCCACAGATTGTAGTCTCACAGGGATCTGGAATAGATAAATATACTTAAAAAAAAAAATAACACAAAATGGAAAACTATTATATTCAACTATTAAGAGTAAAAGCACATGTAGTTTTGTAATCTGAAACGATGAAATATATCTTTAGAAGCCATTATTTACTACATTGTTGTACGAAGGTTTGGACGCTTGCTAATGCCTCTTTTAAAAAGCTTGAAGCTTTTGAGATGTGGTATTATAAGCGAGTCTTAAGAGTTTTATGGGTGGATCGGTTGACTAATGTTGAGGCTATCGTGACAATTAAAAATGGAGAAACCTGTATAACCTTTACGATGCTAAAAGAACACTTTTCACTTAGTTTTGATAAAGATTAGGTCATAATAATTGTCTAAAATGGGAAAAACCTCAAAAAAATTCACAGAATAAGTAAAGGAAAAAGAAAATTGCAGCCATGGAAAACAGAGTATAAAAAATCATAACATCTATGCAATAAATGTGTTTTAAAAATAAAGAAAATTAGCTTAAAATACCTGATTTAAGGAAATAATAGGTACTTACGTCTACAGTCGTTGCCGATATTGGGTTCTTGGCATAAACATTGCTTTTTCTGATCACAAATAGCATTTCCAGGACAATCAATATCTGTATTACACGTAACGATTTCATTACATTTTGTTTTGGGATCAGGATCTGGAATAGTGCCAATTGGGCAGTCACATACATAAGAACCAGGCAAGTTTGTGCATACAGCACCCAATCCACAAGCTTCCGGATTCTGACATTCATCAATATCGTTGCATTGGTTGTTAGGATTTCCGGAAAAGCCTGGTTTGCATTGACAAGCGAATGTTCCTGGGAGATTAGTACAGATTGCGTTGGCTCCACAACGCCCACTTGGACCATTCACAGCGTCACATTCGTCGATATCTGGAACAAATTTCACATAAATGTTTATGGTCATTCTATTCTATCACAGATCATTATTTTAAAAAATTGCTAAATTATTTCTGAATATACTGACCTACACATCCTAGTGAAATATCCTGCACGTTAAAAGTATATCCATCATCACATATACAATAGGCTTCATTACCATCTGGTTTGCAGAAAGAGTGATCTCCGCAAGATACGTCATCACAGGGAGCTTTACATTGAATTTTCGGTGGTGCTCCTACGTAGTCTTTTTCACAAGCGCAGCTAAAGCTTCCTACTGTGTTTGTACATATAGAGAACGGTCCACATGGATTGTCTTTACATTCATCGATGTCCAGACATACAGAGCCTTTGGCAATAAAACCTTTTTGACAGAAGCATTGGTTTTCTATACATTCTGCGTTATTTGTACAGTCAAAGTTCGATTTGCATAAAATATTAACGTCAATCTGAAAAAATATAAAATTGTTCATATTACAAATTAATCTGGAAAAATCTTATACAGGTTTTAGAAGGTATATGAGAGATAGTTGATAACAAATTATTGAAGGTGTACAGCTGATTTGGCTTTGTTTTTTTTAACAATTAAAAAGTATAAAAAAAAATCATAGATTGAATAAACAGTGTGTTTACAGACGAATTTCGTTCTACGAGATAATTATCTGAATGCTGTTAAAGAGTATGAAAAAGGCCAGGAAAACGCTAGGTCCAAAATAGAATACAGTTGGGTGGTGTAGGTATAATGGTATGGAGCGTCATTTCTTTGGAAGCACATACAGATATTGTTATCCACAAGGAATCTACTTCCTGTAGTTGGCTGTATACCATATATTAAAAAAATTTAATTAAAAAACCTTTATAAAAGGTATAAAGGTAAAAACCCTAACGGGCTAATTAAACAAAACGTTTTTGGAACCCATATTCAACCATCAGTGTCTAGGAGTACATGAATGTAGCCACTAAATATATGGGTAAAATAAAAACCCGTTAACAAATAATTAGTTACATTTGGTTTACAATATTTCTTATGATATGTTATGATGTTAAAATTACCGTCGGATAAGGTAACATGGCGACATATGACTCCACGTTGAAGTTGCTAGTCCTGAGACGGTGTGTCTACAAGGACTGTATGGAAGCAACTGTGGCTATATTCATGTACTCCTACACACTGATGATGAAATATGTATTCCAAAAACGTTATGTTTAATTAGCCCGTTAGGGTTTTTAAATATATACCTTTTATAAAGGTTTTTTAATTAAATTTTTTAGATATTGTTATGTGGTAATGAAAATAATTTTAGAAAAGGCATTTTTTTTTTATTTTCACACACTACCTTAATAAATCCTTTAGTTTCGCCAAGGGTTACAATGAAGCAAGTTTTACAAATTGGCTTTTTCATGCCAACAGTGGTGATGCCATATTTATATGAACATTCTGTTTTTTTCTTGGTACTAGCTTTTCTATTTTGTTTGGATTTATGTCAATTAGAGAAGCAATATAGTTGGCCCTTCTATCCAAACTTCACACGTTCTTATAATTTAAAAAACATTTACCCCGGCCTTCATCTAAAAACCTGTCATTATATTTTATACGACATTTCATTTTTTAGTAGTGTAAGTTTTACCAGTATTTCTAAGTTCTTTGTGCCAGTGCCAGTACCAGTGCCCAAGTGGGTATTTCTACAGTAGTTATTCACCGACTGAATATTATGTAATCGGAAGGTCAAGTTAACCCATTAACGGCCAAAGTATCGAAAACGAAACATTTTTTTAATTATTTCTTTTTACGATTTTCATATGATGATTATTATATTTTATGTATGGGTCTTTTATACAAATAGTTTATTGACGTGTTTGTTATCTTAATGGTCTAAATTACGTGTTGCATAGTTTTTAAAATAATAAACAAAACACTCCAAATTTACTAGTATCTGTCGGTGTCGTTTGAGCTCGCATAATATATCACAAGATATTTAAAATTCGACCAAACCAGCATTCTTTGTTCAATTAGAGATTATAGAATTATATTATCCAAACATAATTTGAAATATGACTACTCAGAAAATTCTATAACACTTTAAAGATAATGTTTTGTTTACTAAACTTTGGCGCGATCCGTGAATTTATGATCTATATTTGATAGTCTACTAATAATACAAAATTTTTCAGTCTTAGCTATTATTTCCAACTATGTAGTGGTTTCTTTGATATAATAATAGTGAGTTACTCGGTAGTAGCTATTTTTTACAATTTTGCAGTATTTATACGGTGAATCAAGATGTCCAGAGTAGGGATGGCGGTTTTTGACAAAACACCGGTTTTCGGTTATACCGGTTTTTTTTGCTTACGGTTTAACCTGGCAGTTATAACCGGCCAAAAAACCGGTTTTTCTAAAAACCGGTTTTCGGTTTTTTTAATCAAATAGATTAAAAAGTTACATTTACAATGCACTTTAGTTTGCGATACTACATTCGCAACACAATTTTTTGTGTTTTGTGAGAAAAAAATTCCCCAGACTCTTTCAAATGGGATTTAAAGAAAATAATATCAATATAAATATTTTACTTAAAAATAAATTGAATAATGCAATTCATCTTTTATTTTTACTACCACCAAAAAAAATTTATCACGTATTACTTTTAACTCATTTACGACTTTCGGTATGGGTATAAATCGTTTTGAAAACGTAGGGAAATCCTTGTAGATTCGTATTCGTAATCGGTAATTCGATATTCACAGTCATTATTTTTGGTAATCAGAAAAAGCCATTCACCCACTTTCAATGTCAAGAGTCAAATAACCATAATAAATACCAGATCACTTCTTATGTAAAGATATTATGATTACAAATACTTTTCGACGAAATACGAAATACTATAATAAAATTTAATTGTTTCTGGATAATGTGAGGTTTTGCTTCTGTATAAAATAAAAATTGAATTTTAGTTTTGTTTGGAATAATTACTTGAGAATAATAATTATGATTGGGTGGGATCCAAATTAATACCTAACCTAATCCTAATTACTGTAAAAACCTAATAACCGGTTTTTACTTTAAAAATAAAAAACCGGTTATAACCGGGACAAAAAAACAACCGATAAAACCGGTTATTTCGAAGTAAAAAAACCGGTTTTCGGTTAAAACCGGTAGGTTTTTCCCATCCCTAGTCCAGAGGGTATGTAACAATTGGCTAAATTTGTTATTAGTGTTTTGTAAATGCCATATACATATGATTATCAGATTTGTACGATAATTATTTACATCTACATGTTCTGAAATGATATTTTTATTTTTAGACTATCCGAATATGAAATGAAGAGACCTCTTTCAGTGAAAGAATTATACTATACTGGAGGATGCTTCTGATTTAGAAGAAGCGGATGAGATAGATGCAGTTTATATACCTTCTTTAGTTGATGTGTCAACAGATGAAGAGGATTTGGATGATAATCTTCTTATAGAGGAAGAAGCTTTGACTGATATCGCTGGTACATTCGAGATTCACACAAGGTCTCGAAAAGGGGCTAATACGCCCACATAATCCATATTGAAACTATCTATAAGTAGGGGGAAGAAAAGAAAAGTAAATTCCGAACGAAAATGCAAACCAACGCAATATACACCTGACTGGTCTAAATCGTCAGAAAACTATTCCTCTTCTCCAAAAGAAAATGAATTTAATAAAAAGGAAGAAATAAAGCTGAGACTGGCTGGGAAAACACCATTTGAAATATTCTCTTTATTTTTTGACGATATTATATTCCAGAAGATACTCGAATTCACCCTGGCGTATGCCCGGGACAACAACAGACATGATTTTAAACTCTCTTCAGCTCAACTGCAGAAGTTTTTTAGTATTTTAATCCTTACCGGTTATCATACACTTCCGGCGTTTGATATGTATTGGTGAAAAGACCCAGATAAAGGCGTGGAGCTGGTGAGAAAGTGCATCAGTCGAAACACCTTCCGAAACATAAAAAGAAATCTTTATGTCTCTGACAATAATGACTTAGACAAAAATGATAAATTTGCCAAAATACGTCCATTATTTTTGCTGATGAACGAACGATATTTGCAGTTTGGACTATTTTCTCATAATATGTCTATAGATGAACAAATGGTTCCTTATTTCGGCCGACATTCTGCAAAGATGTTTATGCAGGGTAAACCAGTGCGCTTTGGCTTCAAGGTCTGGTGCTTGTGTAGTTTAGAGGGATATCTATACCATTCCTTATGGTGGCGCAAATCCAGAAAGGCAGAAATCACAATACACATTAGGGACGCAAGTAGGTTTGGATCTGCTACGTGTAATGCAAAACCCTTCAGAACCTAGAGTTTTTTTCGACAACTTCTTTTCAAGTTATGCACTATTTTACATTCTAGGTGAAAAAGGAATTTTCTTTACTAGCACCGTGAGAGAGACAAGGTTACCAGGATGTCCTCTACAAAATAGCAAAGTGCTTGGAAAGAAAAACACAGGCGAGTTTGATCATGCTTTCGACAAAAAGGCAGAAGTATCAGTTGCAATAATTCCGTTGTAACTGTAGCCAGCAACAATGGAACGGTTCATCCAATTGTTACAGTTAAAAGAAATAATCGGAAGCTACAAAAGGAAGATTTAATAGCTCAGCCCAATATGGTTAACGATTATAACCGATATATGGGAGGTGTTGATCTCCTAGATAATTCGGTATCAAATTACCGGATCCGAGTAAGAAGTAAAAAGTGGTGGTGGCCTTTGTTTATGAACCTCGTGGATTGCACAGTTGTAAATTCGTAGAGAATTTACAACATTGCAAATGATTCTCTAGTCTCCCAATTGCAATTTCGTTCTTCGTTGGTTTTGTCACTGATACAGAACGAAAAAAGATTTACGATAAAAACAGCTGCTGAAAAAGATGACTCCGAATCAGACCCAGAGCCAAAGCCATCCACATCCGCATGGGGTCGTCCTTCTAAAGGAAGTTTACCTTCTGATATTCAATATGACCAGACTGGTCATAATATCGTTCGCAAAGAGGATGGACGTAGACGGCGGTGTAGACTGTGCAAAAATAATTCTGTTTATATGTGCGGAAAATGCAAGGTTCACTTGCACGCTGACTGTTTTAGTGCTTTCCATAAAAAATGAGATGCTATAATGGCGCTACTGCCATACTACCAGACAAGTAATAATTTTATTTTATATAATTGACTATTGTAGCAATACCTTTAGTTTTAATTGATAAAACCAAGAAAGTTCATTTACACACTATAAAACGTATAATTTTCAATTTACTACATATATTATGCCATAATTTTTTTTGTATATTGCATTATTATTATTTATAATTTTAAGTAAAATGTTTTTCTTATGCCTTTATTTATAAAGTATATAAACTTGAATTGCAAAAAATCTGACTATTTCAATGCTTGGTCATTAATGGGTTGATACATTATTTCAAACAAATATTGAAAACTCTTCAATATTAGACACTTTTAGTGACACTCTTGAACCAAATTTATAGTTCAGACGTATTACCCAAAAAGAGTGGTTAACATCGATTTTTATTTGTCTCTCCAAAAATAAAAACGCAAGAGAATACAGCGGTTATCACACCATTAGCTTGATGTCTCATGTGCTTAAGTTACTGCTAAAAGTCATCCATAAACGAATATATTACAAACTGGACAATGGAGATAGACATTAATGATACACAATTTGGTTTTTACAAAAGCCTAGGAACGCGTGAAGCTCTTTTTTCACTTAATATACTGATACAAAGATGCCTGCACGTCAATCAAGATATATACGCATGTTTTATTGACTATAATAAAGCATTCGATAAAGTACGACATAAACAATTAATGAATGTCCTGAAATCAAAGAAGATCGACTATAACGCTCTCAGGATCATATCAAATTTATACCTGGAAATAAAGGTAAATGGAGTTCCCATTAACAATATTAGATATGCACAGCTGACGATACTGTGATCTTTGCAGAAAATATTGAAGATTTTCAGAGACTGGTGACCAGAATAGCGGAGCATGGAATAGAGTACGATCTAACAATGAATGTCAAGTAGACGAAATTTATGAGATTATTGAAAACTCAAAGAAATAACGAGAATCTTCTAATAAACGGAACCAACGTAGAAAACAAGTGGACAAATATGCATATCTGAGAACAATGATTAACTCCAGAAATGATTACATTCAGGAGATCAAAATTAGAATAGAAAAGGCTAGAGCAAATTAAAAAAAAATGAGAAGGAGCTATGTACAAGGGATTTAAAATTAGAACTAAGAGTTAGGTTGGCGAGGTGCTATGTTTTTTCGACTTTATTTTATGGAATGGAATCTTGGACGTTGAATACGACATCAATAAAAAAACAGGAGTTATTCGAGCTGTGGGTGTATAGAAGAATTCTGAAAATATCGTGGACAGAACATGTCACAAAAAAAAAGGTTCTGAGAAGGATGAATAAAGAAACAGAAATTTTAAATGCAATTAAAACAAGAAAATTGGAATATTTCGGACATATTACCCTCTCAAGGAGAGAAATACACCTTGCTCCAACTGATTATGCTGGGAAAGATCCAAAGAAAGAGAAGCATAG